GTGGGGGAGTGAGAGAGTGAGTGGGTGAGTGAGTGAGTGGGGGAGTGAGTGGGGGAGTGAGAGAGTGAGTGGTGAGTGAGTGAGTGGGGGAGTGAGAGAGTGAGTGGGTGAGTGAGTGAGTGGGGGAGTGAGTGGGGGAGTGAGAGAGTGAGTGGGTGAGTGAGTGAGTGGGGGAGTGAGTGGGGGAGTGAGAGAGTGAGTGGGTGAGTGAGTGAGTGGGGGAGTGAGTGGGGGGAGTGAGAGAGTGAGTGGGTGAGTGAGTGAGTGGGGGAGTGAGGAGTGAGTGAGTGAGTGAGTGGGTGAGTGAGTGGGTGAGTGAGTGAGTGAGTGGGTGGGGGAGTGAGTGAGTGGGTGAGTGAGTGGGTGAGTGGGTGAGTGGGTGAGTGGGTGGGTGAGTGGGTGAGTGGGTGGGTGAGTGAGTGGGTGAGTGAGTGGGTGGGTGAGTGAGTGAGTGAGTGGGTGAGTGGGTGAGTGGGTGAGTGAGTGGGTGAGTGAGTGAGTGAGTGGGTGAGTGGGTGAGTGGGTGGGTGAGTGAGTGAGTGAGTGGGTGAGTGGGTGAGTGGGTGGGTGAGTGAGTGGGTGAGTGAGTGAGTGGGTGAGTGAGTGGGTGGGTGAGTGAGTGAGTGAGTGGGTGAGTGGGTGAGTGGGTGAGTGAGTGGGTGAGTGAGTGAGTGAGTGGGTGAGTGGGTGAGTGGGTGAGTGGGTGGGTGAGTGAGTGAGTGAGTGGGTGAGTGGGTGAGTGGGTGGGTGAGTGAGTGGGTGAGTGAGTGGGTGGGTGAGTGAGTGAGTGAGTGGGTGAGTGGGTGAGTGGGTGAGTGAGTGGGTGAGTGAGTGAGTGAGTGGGTGAGTGGGTGAGTGGGTGAGTGGGTGAGTGAGTGGGTGAGTGAGTGAGTGAGTGGGTGAGTGAGTGAGTGAGTGGGGTGAGTGAGTGGGTGAGTGAGTGAGTGGGTGAGTGGGTGGGGGAGTGAGTGGAGTGGGTGTAGTGGGTGGGTGAGTGAGTGAGTGGGTGAGTGGGTGGGGTGAATGAGTGGGTGAGTGAGTGGTGAGTGGGTGAGTAAGTGAGTGAGTGGGTGAGTGGGTGGGTGAGTGGGTGAGTGAGTGAGTGGGTGGGTGGGTGGGTGAGTGAGTGAGTGGGTGACGTGAGTGAGTGGGTGGGTGGGTGAGTGGGGGAGTGAGAGAGTGAGTGGGTGAGTGAATGAGTGGGTGAGTGAGTTAGTGGGTGGGTGAGTGGGGGAGTGAGAGAGTGAGTGGGTGAGTGAGTGGGTGAGTGAGTGGGTGAGTGGGTCGGTGAGTGGGTGGGTGAGTGAGTGGGTGAGTGGGTGAGTGAGTGGGTGAGTGAGTGAGTGGGTGAGTGAGTGAGTGGTGAGTGAGTGGGTGAATCAGTGGGTGAGTGAGTGGGTGAGTGAGTGGGTGAGTGGGTGGGTGGGTGAGTGAGTGGGTGAGTGAGTGAGTGGGTGAGTGGGTGAGTGAGTGGGTGAGTGAGTGAGTGAGTAAGTGAGTGAGTGAGTGGGTGAGTGAGTGGGTGAATCAGTGGGTGAGTGAGTGGGTGAGTGAGTGGGTGAGTGGGTGGGTGGGTGGGTGAGTGAGTGGGTGAGTGAGTGAGAGGGTGAGTGGGTGAGTGAGTGGGTGAGTGGGTGAGTGAGTGAGTGAGTGGGTGAGTGAGTGGGTGAATGAGTGGGTGAGTGAGTGGGTGAGTGGGTGAGTAAGTGAGTGAGTGGGTGGGTGAGTGGGTGAGTGAGTGGGTGAGTGGGTGGGGGAGTGAGAGAGTGAGTGGGTGAGTGGGTGAGTGAGTGAGTGGGTGAGTGGGTGAGTGAGTGAGTGGGTGAGTGGGGGAGTGAGAGAGTGAGTGGGTGAGTGAGTGGGTGAGTGAGTGGGTGAGTGAGTGGGTGAGTGGGGGAGTGAGAGAGTGAGTGGGTGAGTGAGTGAGTGAGTGGGTGGGTGAGTGAGTGAGTGGGTGAGTGAGTGAGTGGGTGAGTGGGGGAGTGAGTGAGTGGGTGAATGAGTGAGTGGGTGAGTGGGGAGTGAGTGAGTGGGTGAGTGGGTGGGTGAGTGAGTGAGTGAGTGGGTGGGTGGGTGAGTGGGGGAGTGAGAGAGTGAGTGGGTGAGTGAGTGGTTGAGTGAGTGGGTGAGTGGGTCGGTGAGTGGGTGGGTGAGTGGGTGAGTGAGTGAGTGAGTGGGTGAGTGAGTGGGTGAGTGAGTGAGTGAGTGGGTGAGTGGGTGAGTGGGTGGGTGAGTGAGTGAGTGAGTAAGTGAGTGAGTGGGTGAGTGAGTGGGTGAATCAGTGGGTGAGTGAGTGGGTGAGTGAGTGGGTGAGTGGGTGGGTGGGTGAGTGAGTGGGTGAGTGAGTGGGTGAGTGGGTGAGTGAGTGGGTGAGTGAGTGGGTGAGTGAGTGAGTGAGTGTGTGAGTGAGTGGGTGAATGAGTGGGTGAGTGAGTGGGTGAGTGGGTGAGTAAGTGAGTGAGTGGGTGAGTGGGTGGGTGAGTGGGTGAGTGAGTGAGTGGGTGGGTGGGTGAGTGAGTGAGTGGGTGAGTGAGTGAGTGGGTGGGTGAGTGGGGGAGTGAGAGAGTGAGTGGGTGAGTGAGTGAGTGGGTGAGTGAGTTAGTGGGTGGGTGAGTGGGGGAGTGAGAGAGTGAGTGGGTGAGTGAGTGGGTGAGTGAGTGGGTGAGTGGGTCGGTGAGTGGGTGGGTGAGTGAGTGGGTGAGTGGGTGAGTGAGTGGGTGAGTGAGTGAGTGAGTAAGTGAGTGAGTGGGTGAGTGAGTGGGTGAATCAGTGGGTGAGTGAGTGGGTGAGTGAGTGGGTGAGTGGGTGGGTGGATGAGTGAGTGGGTGAGTGAGTGAGTGGGTGAGTGGGTGAGTGAGTGGGTGAGTGAGTGAGTGAGTAAGTGAGTGAGTGAGTGGGTGAGTGAGTGGGTGAATCAGTGGGTGAGTGAGTGGGTGAGTGAGTGGGTGAGTGGGTGGGTGGGTGAGTGAGTGGGTGAGTGAGTGAGTGGGTGAGTGGGTGAGTGAGTGGGTGAGTGGGTGAGTGAGTGAGTGAGTGGGTGAGTGAGTGGGTGAATGAGTGGGTGAGTGAGTGGGTGAGTGGGTGAGTAAGTGAGTGAGTGGGTGGGTGAGTGGGTGAGTGAGTGAGTGGGTGGGTGGGTGAGTGAGTGAGTGGGTGAGTGAGTGAGTGAGTGGGTTGGTGGGTGAGTGGGGGAGTGAGAGAGTGAGTGGGTGAGTGAGTGAGTGGGTGAGTGAGTTAGTGGGTGGGTGAGTGGGGGAGTGAGAGAGTGAGTGGGTGAGTGGGTCGGTGAGTGGGTGGGTGAGTGGGTGAGTGAGTGAGTGGGTGAGTGGGTGAGTGGGTGGGTGAGTGAGTGAGTGGGTGAGTGAGTGAGTGAGTGGGTGAGTGAGTGAGTGAGTGGGTGAGTGAGTGGGTGAGTGGGTGAGTGAGTGAGTGGGTGAGTGAGTGTGTAAGTGAGTGAGTGGGTGAGTGAGTGGGTGAGTGAGTGGGTGAGTGAGTGAGTGGGTGAGTGAGTGGGTGAGTGGGTGAGTGAGTGGGTGAGTGTGTGGGTGAGTGAGTGGGTGAGTGGGTGGGTGAGTGAGTGAGTGAGTGGGTGAGTGAGTGAGTGAGTGGGTGAGTGAGTGGGTGAGTGGGTGGGTGAGTGAGTGGGTGAGTGAGTGGGTGAGTGGGGGAGTGAGAGAGTGAGTGGGTGAGTGAGTGGGTGAGTGAGTGGGTGAGTGGGTCGGTGAGTGGGTGGGTGAGTGGGTGAGTGAGTGAGTGGGTGAGTGGGTGAGTGGGTGAGTGAGTGAGTGGGTGAGTGGGTGAGTGAGTGGGTGAGTGAGTGGGTGAGTGAGTGGGGTGAAGTGAGTGGGTGAGGTGAGTGGGTGAGTGGGTGAGTGAGTGAGTGAGTGGTGAGTGAGTGAGTGGTGAGTGAGTGGGTGGAGTGAGGTGGAGTGAGTGGGTGAGTGAGTGAGTGGGTGAGTGAGTGGGTGAGTGGTGGTGAGTGAGTGGGTGAGTGAGTGGGTGAGTGAGTGAGTGAGTGGGTGAGTGAGTGGGTGAGTGAGTGGGTGAGTGAGTGGGTGAGTGAGTGGGTGAGTGAGTGGGTGAGTGGGTGAGTGAGTGAGTGGGTGAGTGGGTGGGTGAGTGTGTGAGTGGGTGAGTGAGTGAGTGGGTGAGTGAGTGAGTGGGTGAGTGAGTGGGTGAGTGGGTGAGTGGGTGAGTGAGTGAGTGGGTGAGTGAGTGGGTGAGTGGGTGAGTGAGTGGGTGAGTGGGTGAGTGGGTGAGTGGGTGAGTGAGTGGGTGAGTGGGGGAGTGAGTGAGTGGGTGAGTGAGTGGGTGAGTGGGTGAGTGAGTGGGTGAGTGGGTGGGTGGGTGAGTGGGTGAGTGGGTGAGTGAGTGGGTGAGTGGGTGGGTGAGTGGGTGAGTGGGTGAGTGAGTGGGTGAGTGGGTGGGTGGGTGAGTGGGTGAGTGGGTGGGTGAGTGAGTGGGTGGGTGAGTGGGTGAGTGAGTGAGAGAGTGGGTGAGTGGGTGAGTGAGTGTGTGAGTGAGTGAGTGAGTGGGTGAGTGAGTGAGTGGGTGAGTGAGTGAGTGAGTGTGTGAGTGAGTGGGTGAGTGGGTGGGTGGGTGAGTGGGTGAGTGAGTGGGTGAGTGGGGGAGTGAGTGAGTGGGTGAGTGAGTGGGTGAGTGGGTGAGTGAGTGGGTGAGTGGGTGGGTGGGTGAGTGGGTGAGTGGGTGAGTGAGTGGGTGAGTGGGTGGGTGAGTGGGTGAGTGGGTGAGTGAGTGGGTGAGTGGGTGGGTGGGTGAGTGGGTGAGTGGGTGAGTGGGTGGGTGAGTGAGTGGGTGGGTGAGTGGGTGAGTGAGTGAGAGAGTGGGTGAGTGGGTGAGTGAGTGTGTGAGTGAGTGAGTGAGTGGGTGAGTGAGTGAGTGGGTGAGTGAGTGAGTGAGTGTGTGAGTGAGTGGGTGAGTGAGTGAGTGGGTGAGTGAGTGGGTGAGTGGGTGAGTGAGTGGGTGAGTGAGTGACTCACCGGCTGGCTGGTGAGTTAGGACTCACGCTATGAATGAGAACTCCGTGAGTGACGTTGGGAAATGAAGAATCCCTCAGCTGCAGCTCCATCAGGATCCTGGCATCACCACAACCACCATCACAACCCCCACCATCACAACCACCAACACCACAACCACCACCACAACAACCATCACAACAACCACCACCATCACAACCACCAACACCACAACAACCACCATCACAACAACCATCACAACCACCACCATCACAACCACCACCATCACAACCACCACCACCATACCCACCACCATCACAACAACCAACACCACAACAACCACCACCACAACCACCATCACAACCACCACCATCACAACCACCAACACCACAACCACCACAACCACCATCACAACCACCAACACCAGAACAACCACCACCACCATCACAACCACCAACACCACAACAACCACCACCACCACCATCACAACAACCACCATCACAACAACCACCACAACCACCATCACAACCACCATCACAACAACCACCACCACAACCACCACCACAACCACCACAACCACCATCACAACAACCACCACCATCACAACCACCACCATCACAACAACCACCATCACAACAACCACCACAACCACCATCACAACAACCATCACAACCACCACCATCACAACCACCACCATCACAACCACCAACACCACAACAACCACCACCACAACCACCATCACAACAACCACCATCACAACAACCACCATCACAACCACCACCATCACAACCACCAACACCACAACCACCACAACCACCATCACAACCACCAACACCACCACCATCACAACCACCAACACCACAACAACCACCACCACCATCACAACAACCAACACCACAACAACCACCACCACAACCACCATCACAACAACCACCATCACAACAACCACCACCACAACCACCATCACAACAACCACCACCACCATCACAACAACCACCACCATCACAACCACCACCATCACAACAACCACCATCACAACAACCACCACAACCACCACAACCACCATCACAACAACCATCACAACCACCACCATCACAACCACCAACACCACAACAACCACCACCACAACCACCATCACAACAACCACCATCACAACAACCACCATCACAACCACCAACACCATAACCACCACCATCACAACCACCAACACCACAACAACCACCACCACAACCACCATCACAACCACCACCACCATCACAACCACCACCATCACAACCACCAACACCACAACAACCACCACCACAACCACCATCAAAACAACCACCATCACAACAACCAACACCACAACAACCACCACCACAACCACCACCATCACAACCACCACCATCACAACCACCACCATCACAACCACCACCACCAACACCACCACCGCAACCACCACAACCACCATCACAACAACCACCACCACAACCACCACCACAACCATCATCACAACCACCACAACCACCATCACCACAACCACCATCATCACAACCACCACAACCACCATCACAACAACCACCATCACAACAACCACCACCACAACAACCAGCACAACTACCACAACCACCATCACAACAACCACCATCACAACCACCACAGCAACCACCATCACAACCACCACCATCACAACCACCAACACCATCACAACCACTACCATCAGAACCACCAACACCACAACAACCACCACCATCACAACCACCACCATCACAACCACCACCATCACAACCACCAACACCACAACCACCACCATCACAACCACCACCATCACAACCACCACCATCACAACCACCACCAACACAACAAACATCACCACAACCACCACAACCACCACCAACACCACAACCCTCACCACAACCACCACAACCAAAACCACCACAAACACCATCACAATCACCACAACACAACCACCACCAAAACACAACATCCGCACAACTACAACGCAGTGAGTAGGTGAGTGGGTAGGTGAGTGGGTGAGTGGGTAGGTGAGTGGGTGAGTGGGTGGGTGAGTGGGTGAGTGGGTGAGTGAGTGGGTGGGTGGGTGGGTGAGTGAGTGGGTGAGTGAGTGAGTGGGTGAGTGAGTAGGTGAGTGGGTAGGTGAGTGAGTGAGTGGGTGGGTGAGTGAGTGGGTGAGTGGGTAGGTGAGTGGGTGAGTGAGTGAGTGAGTGGGTGGGTGAGTGAGTGAGTGGGTGAGTGAGTGAGTGGGTGAGTGAGTAGGTGAGTGGGTAGGTGAGTGAGTGAGTGGGTGGGTGAGTGAGTGGGTGAGTGGGTAGGTGAGTGGGTGAGTGAGTGAGTGAGTGGGTGGGTGGGTGAGTGAGTGAGTGAGTGGGTGAGTGAGTAGGTGAGTGGGTAGGTGAGTGAGTGAGTGAGTGGGTGGGTGAGTGAGTGGGTGAGTGGGTAGGTGAGTGGGTGAGTGAGTGAGTGAGTGGGTGGGTGGGTGAGTGAGTGGGTGAGTGAGTGAGTGGGTGAGTGAGTAGGTGAGTGGGTAGGTGAGTGGGTGAGTGAGTGGGTGGGTGAGTGAGTGGGTGAGTGGGTAGGTGAGTGAGTGGGTGGATGAGTGAGTGGGTGAGTGGGTAGGTGAGTGGGTGAGTGAGTGAGTGAGTGGGTGGGTGAGTGAGTGGGTGAGTGAGTGAGTGGGTGAGTGAGTAGGTGAGTGGGTAGGTGAGTGGGTGAGTGAGTGAGTGAGTGGGTGGGTGAGTGAGTGGGTGAGTGGGTAGGTGAGTGAGTGGGTGGGTGAGTGAGTGGGTGAGTGGGTAGGTGAGTGAGTGGGTAGGTGAGTGAGTGGGTGAGTGGGTGGGTGAGTGGGTGAGTGGGTGAGTGGGTGGGTGGGTGAGTGAGTGAGTGGGTGGGTGGGTGAGTGAGTGAGTGGGTAGGTGAGTGGGTGAGTGAGTGGGTGAGTGGGTGGGTGAGTGAGTGAGTGGGTGGGTGAGTGAGTGAGTGGGTGAGTGGGTGAGTGAGTGGGTGGGTGGGTGAGTGAGTGAGTGGGTGAGTGAGTGGGTAGGTGGGTGAGTGAGTGGGTGGGTGAGTGAGTGGGTGAGTGGGTGGGTGAGTGGGTGAGTGGTTGAGTGGTTGAGTGGGTGAGTGAGTGGGTGGGTAAGTGGGTGAGTGAGTGAGTGGGTAGGTGAGTGAGTGGGTGAGTGGGTGAGTGGGTGGGTGAGTGGGTGAGTGGGTGAGTGAGTAGGTGAGTGAGTGAGTGAGTGGGTGAGTGAGTGGGTGGGTGAGTGGGTGAGTGAGTGAGTGGGTGGGTGAGTGGGTGAGTGGGTGAGTGAGTGGATGGGTGAGTGAGTGGGTGAGTGGGTGAGTGAGTGGGTGGGTGAGTGGGTGGGTGAGTGGGTGGGTGAGTGAGTGGGTGGGTGAGTGAGTGAGTGGGTGAGTGAGTGGGTGAGTGGGTGAGTGAGTGGGTGGGTGAGTGAGTGAGTGGGTGAGTGGGTAGGTGAGTGAGTGGGTGGGTGAGTGAGTGGGTGAGTGGGTAGGTGAGTGGGTGGGTGAATGAGTGGGTGAGTGAGTGAGTGGGTGGGTGAGTGAGTGAGTGAGTGTATGAGTGAGTGGGTGGGTGGGTGAGTGAGTGAGTGGGTGAGTGAGTGAGTGGGTGAGTGGCTGAGTGAGTGGGTAGGTGAGTGGGTAGGTGAGTGGGTGGGTGAGTGGGTGGGTGAGTGGGTGGGTAGTTGAGTGGATAGGTGAGTGGGTGGGTGGGTGAGTGAGTGAGTGGGTGAGTGAGTGGGTAGGTAAGTGGGTGAGTGGGTAGGTGAGTGGGTAGGTGAGTGGGTAGGTGAGTGGGTGGGTGAGTGGGTGAGTGAGTGAGCAGGTGAGTGGGTGGGTGAGTGGGTGAGTGGGTGAGTGAGTGGGTGAGTGGGTGGGTGAGTGAGTGAGTGGGTGAGTGGGTGAGTGGGTGGGTGAGTGAGTGGGTGAGTGGGTAGGTTAGTGGGTAGGTGAGTGAGTGGGTGGGTGAGTGAGTGGGTGGGTGAGTGAGTGGGTGGGTGAGTGAGTGGGTGAGTGAGTGGGTGAGTGAGTGGGTGAGTGGGTGAGTGGGTGGGTGAGTGAGTGGGTGGGTAAGTGAGTGGGTGAGTGAGTGAGTGAGTGTGTGAGTGAGTGGGTGAGTGAGTGAGTGGGTGAGTGGGTGGGTGGGTGAGTGGGTGAGTGAGTGAGTGGGTGGGTGGGAAGGTGAGTGGGTAGGTGAGTGGGTAGGTGAGTGGGTGGGTGGGTAGGTGAATGGGTGGGTAGATGAGTGGGTAGGTGACCGAGTGTATGAGTGAGTGAGTGAGTGGGTAAGTGAGTGTATGAGTGAGTGTATGAGTGGGTGAGTGAGTGGGTGAGTGAGTGAGTGGGTGAGTGAGTGAGTGGGTGAGTGGGTGGGTGAGTGGGTGAGTGAGTGAGTGGGTGGGTGGGTGGGAAGGTGAGTGGGTAGGTGAGTGGGTAGGTGAGTGGGTGGGTGGGTAGGTGAATGGGTGGGTAGATGAGTGGGTAGGTGACCGAGTGTATGAGTGAGTGAGTGGGTGAGTGAGTGTATGAGTGAGTGTATGAGTGGGTGAGTGAGTGGGTGAGTGAGTGGGTGAGTGGGTGGGTGAGTGAGTGAGTGAGTGTATGAGTGAGTGAGTGTGTGAGTGAGTGGGTGAGTGAGTGGGTGAGTGAGTGGGTGAGTGGGTGGGTGAGTGAGTGGGTGAGTGGGTGGGTGAGTGAGTGAGTGTGCTCACCTGGGGGTGAGTGTCAGCATCGTAATCCCAATGTATTTCTTCTTCGACACAGGAGCTTTAAGAGAATCTGTGAACACAAGGTGGGTGAGTGAGTGGGTGAGTGAGTGAGTGGGTGAGTGAGTGAGTGGGTGAGTGAGCGGGTTAGTGAGTGAGTGAGTGAGTGAGTGGGTGGGTGGGTGAGTGGGTGGGTGAGTGAGTGAGTGTATGAGTGAGTGTATGAGTGAGTGAGTGTGTGAGTGAGTGGGTGAGTGAGTGTGTGAGTGGGTGAGTGAGGATGTGAGTGTATGAGTGAGTGAGTGTATGAGTGAGTGAGTGTGTGAGTGAGTGGGTGAGTGAGTGTGTGAGTGGGTGAGTGAGGATGTGAGTGAGTGAGTGAGTGGGTGAGTAAGTGGGTGAGTGAGTGAGGATGTGAGTGTGTGAGTGAGTGTATGAGTGAGTGAGTGGGTGAGTGAGTGTGTGAGTGGGTGAGTGAGTGTGTGAGTGGGTGAGTGAGTGAGTGAGTGGGTGAGTGAGTGTGTGAGTGGGTGAGTGAGTGTGTGAGTGGGTGAGTGAGTGAGTGAGTGGGTGGGTGAGTGAGTAAGTGGGTGGGTGAGTGGGTGAGTGGGTGAGTGCGTAAGTGGGTGGGTGAGTGGGTGAGTGAGTGAGTGAGTGGGTGAGTGAGTGGGTGGGTGGGTGAGTGAGTGGGTGGGTGAGTGAGTGGGTGAGTGAATGAGTGGTTGAGTGAGTGAGTGGGTGAGTGAATGAGTGGGTGAGTGAGTGAGTGGGTGAGTGAGTGGGTGAGTGAGTGGGTGAGTGAGTGGGTGAGTGGGTGAGTGAGTGGGTGAGTGAGTGGGTGAGTGGGTGAGTGAGTGGGTGAGTGAGTGGGTGAGTGGGTGAGTGAGTGAGTGAGTGGGTGAGTGAGTGAGTGGGTGAATGAGTGGGTGAGTGGGTGAGTGAGTGAGTGAGTGGGTGAGTGAGTGAGTGGGTGAGTGAGTGAGTGGGTGAGTGAGTGGGTGAGTGAGTGTATGAGTGAGTGAGTGTATGAGTGAGTGAGTGAGTGTATGAGTGAGTGTATGAGTGAGTGTATGAGTGTATGAGTGAGTGAGTGTATGAGTGAGTGAGTGTATGAGTGAGTGAGTGAGTGTATGAGTGAGTGAGTGAGTGTATGAGTGAGTGAGTGTATGAGTGAGTGAGTGTATGAGTGAGTGAGTGTATGAGTGAGTGAGTGAGTGTGTGAGTGAGTGTATGAGTGAGTGAGTGTATGAGTGTATGAGTGAGTGAGTGAGTGTATGAGTGAATGAGTGAGTGTATGAGTGAGTGTATGAGTGTATGAGTGAGTGAGTGAGTGTGTGAGTGTATGTGTGTATGAGTGAGTGAGTGTATGAGTGAGTGTATGAGTGAGTGTATGAGTGAGTGAGTGTATTCGTGGGTGTATTAGTGAGTGAGTGAGTGTATGAGTGAGTGAGTGTATGAGTGAGTGTATGAGTGTGTGAGTGAGTGTGTGAGTGAGTGTATGAGTGTGTGAGTGAGTGAGTGTATGAGTGAGTGGGTGAGTGAGTGAGTGGGTGAGTGAGTGAGTGAGTGGGTGAGTGAGTGAGTGAGTGGGTGAGTGAGTGGGTGAGTGAGTGTATGAGTGAGTGAGTGTATGAGTGAGTGAGTGAGTGTATGAGTGAGTGTATGAGTGAGTGTATGAGTGAGTGAGTGTATGAGTGAGTGAGTGTATGAGTGAGTGAGTGAGTGTATGAGTGAGTGAGTGAGTGTATGAGTGAGTGAGTGTATGAGTGAGTGTATGAGTGAGTGAGTGTATGAGTGAGTGAGTGAGTGTGTGAGTGAGTGTATGAGTGAGTGAGTGTATGAGTGTATGAGTGAGTGAGTGAGTGTATGAGTGAGTGAGTGAGTGTATGAGTGAGTGTATGAGTGTATGAGTGAGTGAGTGAGTGTGTGAGTGTATGTGTGTATGAGTGAGTGAGTGTATGAGTGAGTGTATGAGTGAGTGTATGAGTGAGTGAGTGTATTCGTGGGTGTATTAGTGAGTGAGTGAGTGTATGAGTGAGTGAGTGTATGAGTGTGTGAGTGAGTGTGTGAGTGAGTGAGTGAGTGTATGAGTGAGTGAGTGTGTGAGTGAGTGTATGAGTGAGTGTATGAGTGAGTGTATGAGTGAGTGTATGAGTGAGTGTATGAGTAAGTGTATGAGTGAGTGAGTGTATGAGTGGGTGAGTGAGTGAGTGGGTGAGTGGTGGCTCACTGATCTGGTCGTGCGAGTCAATCAGGAACTGATGGATTCTATCGGCCGGGATCGCGAACGAGATCCCGGCGGTCACCTTCATTGTGTTCACCCCAATCACCTCGCCGTCCTGATAACCACAACAACCACAACCACCACAACCACCACAACCACCACAACTACAACAACCACCACAACCACCACAACCACCACAACAACAACCACAACCACCACAAATACAACAACAACAACCACCACCACAACTACAACAACCACCACAACAACCACCACAACTACAACCACCACAACTACAACCACCACAACAACAACCACAACCACCACAACTACAACAACCACCACCATGCTCACCACCACAACAACAACCACAACTACAACAACAACCACCACAACTACAACAACCACAACAACCACCACAACAAACACCACCACAACTACAACAACAACAACCACCACCACAACAACAACCACCACAAATACAACAACCACAACAACCACCACCACAACCACCACCATGCTCACCACTACAACAACAAACACCACTCACCACCACAACCACCACCACCACAACAACCACCACCACAACAACCACCACCACAACAACCACCACCACTCACTACCACCACAACAACTATAACAACCACAACCACCACAACAACAACAACCACAAACACCACCACCACCACCATGCTCACCACCACCACCCCCACCACCACCATCACCACCACCACCATCACCACCACCACCACCACCATCACCACCACCACCATCACCACCACCATCACCACCATCACCACCATCACCACCACCATCACCACCATCACCACCACCACCATCACCACCACCATCACCACCACCACCATCACCACCACCATCACCACCACCACCATCACCACCACCACCATCACCACCACCACCATCACCACCACCATCACCACCACCATCACCATCACCACCACCATCACCACCATCACCACCACCACCATCACCACCACCACCATCACCACCACCACCACCATCACCACCATCACCATCACCACCATCACCACCACCACCACCACCATCACCACCATCACCACCATCACCATCACCACCATCACCACCACCACCACCATCACCACCACCACCACCATCACCACCACCATCACCATCACCACCACCACCACAACAACTCACCAAGTTCACCAGCGGCCCTCCGGAATTGCCGAACTGTGGGGAGAGAGCACGGGGGGGGGAGGTATTAGTTATACTCACCACTCACTCACCACTCACTCACCACTCACTCACCACTCACTCACTCACCACTCACTCACCACTCACTCACCACTCACTCACTCACCACTCACTCACCACTCACTCACCACTAACTCACTCACCACTCACTCACCACTCACTCACCACTCACTCACCACTCACTCACTCACTCACCACTCACTCACCACTCACTCACCACTCACTCACTCACCACTCACTCACCACTCACTCACCACTCACTCACCACTCACTCACTCACCACTCACTCACCACTCACTCACCACTCACTCACTCACCACTCACTCACCACTCACTCACCACTCACTCACCACTCACTCACTCACTCACCACTCACTCACTCACTCACCACTCACTCACCACTCACTCACTCACCACTCACTCACTCACTCATACACTCACTCACTCAAATACTCACCCACTCACTCACTCAAATACTCACCACTCACTCACCACTCACTCACTCACCACTCACTCACCACTCACTCACTCACCACTCACTCACCACTCACTCACCACTCACTCACCACTCACTCACCACTCACTCACTCACTCACCCACTCACTCACCACTCACTCACCACTCACTCACCACTCACTCACTCACCACTCACTCACCACTCACTCACTCACTCATACACTCACTCACTCAAATACTCACCCACTCACTCACTCAAATACTCACCACTCACTCACCACTCACTCACTCACCACTCACTCACCACTCACTCACCACTCACTCACCACTCACTCACTCACTCACCCACTCACTCACCACTCACTCACCACTCACTCACCACTCACTCACTCACCACTCACTCACCACTCACTCACTCACTCATACACTCACTCACTCAAATACTCACCCACTCACTCACTCAAATACTCACCACTCACTCACCACTCACTCACTCACCACTCACTCACCACTCACTCACTCACCACTCACTCACTCACTCACCACTCACTCACCACTCACTCACCACTCACTCACTCACTCACCACTCACTCACCACTCACTCACCACTCATTCACTCACTCACCACTCACTCACCACTCACTCACCACTCACCACTCACTCACCACTCACTCACCACTCACCACTCACTCACCACTCACTCACCACTCACTCACTCACTCACCACTCACTCACCACTCACTCACCACTCACTCACCACTCACTCACCACTCACTCACTCACTCACCACTCACTCACCACTCACTCACCACTCACTCACCACTCACTCACCACTCACTCACCACTCACTCACTCACCACTCACTCACCACTCACTCACTCACTCATACACTCACTCACTCAAATACTCACCCACTCACTCACTCAAATACTCACCACTCACTCACCACTCACTCACTCACCACTCACTCACCACTCACTCACTCACCACTCACTCACCACTCACTCACCACTCACTCACTCACTCACCCACTCACTCACCACTCACTCACCACTCACTCACCACTCACTCACTCACCACTCACTCACCACTCACTCACTCACTCATACACTCACTCACTCAAATACTCACCCACTCACTCACTCAAATACTCACCACTCACTCACTCACCACTCACTCACCACTCACTCACCACTCACTCACCACTCACTCACCACTCACTCACCACTCACTCACCCACTCACTCACCACTCACTCACCACTCACTCACTCACCACTCACTCACCACTCACTCACTCACTCATACACTCACTCACTCAAATACTCACCCACTCACTCACTCAAATACTCACCACTCACTCACCACTCACTCACTCACCACTCACTCACCACTCACTCACTCACCACTCACTCACTCACTCACCACTCACTCACCACTCACTCACCACTCACTCACTCACTCACCACTCACTCACCACTCACTCACCACTCATTCACTCACTCACCACTCACTCACCACTCACTCACCACTCACCACTCACTCACCACTCACTCACCACTCACCACTCACTCACCACTCACTCACCACTCACTCACCACTCACTCACTCACTCACCACTCACTCACCACTCACTCACCACTCACTCACCACTCACTCACCACTCACCACTCACTCACCACTCACTCACCACTCACTCACCACTCACTCACCCACTCACTCACCACTCACTCACCACTCACTCACCACTCACTCACTCACCACTCACTCACCACTCACTCACTCACTCATACACTCACTCACTCAAATACTCACCCACTCACTCACTCAAATACTCACCACTCACTCACCACTCACTCACTCACCACTCACTCACCACTCACTCACTCACCACTCACTCACCACTCACTCACCACTCACTCACCACTCACTCACTCACTCACCCACTCACTCACCACTCACTCACCACTCACTCACCACTCACTCACTCACCACTCACTCACCACTCACTCACTCACTCATACACTCACTCACTCAAATACTCACCCACTCACTCACTCAAATACTCACCACTCACTCACCACTCACTCACTCACCACTCACTCACCACTCACTCACTCACCACTCACTCACCACTCACTCACCACTCACTCACCACTCACTCACTCACTCACCACTCACTCACCACTCACTCACCACTCACTCACTCACTCACCACTCACTCACCACTCACTCACCACTCACTCACCACTCACCACTCACTCACCACTCACCACTCACTCACCACTCACTCACCACTCACTCACCACTCACTCACTCACTCACCACTCACTCACCACTCACCACTCACTCACCACTCACTCACCACTCACTCACCACTCACTCACCCACTCACTCACCACTCACTCACCACTCACCACTCACTCACCACTCACTCACCACTCACTCACCCACTCACTCACCCACTCACTCACCACTCACTCACCACTCACTCACCACTCACTCACCACTCACTCACCCACTCACTCACCACTCACTCACCACTCACTCACTCACTCACCACTCACTCACCACTCACTCACCACTCACTCACTCACTCACCACTCACTCACCACTCACTCACCACTCACCACTCACTCACCACTCACTCACCACTCACCACTCACTCACCACTCACTCACCACTCACTCACCACTCACTCACTCACTCACCCACTCACTCACTCCCCCACTCACCCACTCACTCACCACTCACTCACCACTCACTCACCACTCACTCACCCACTCACTCACCACTCACTCACCACTCACCACTCACTCACCACTCACTCACCACTCACTCACCACTCACTCACCACTCACTCACCACTCACTCACCACTCACCACTCACTCACCACTCACTCACCACTCACTCACCACTCACTCACCACTCACCACTCACTCACCACTCACTCACCACTCACTCACCACTCACTCACCACTCACTCACTCACTCACCACTCACTCACCGACTCAGTCACTCACCCACTCACTCACCACTCACTCACCACTCACTCACCACTCACTCACCACTCACCACTCACTCACCACTCACTCACCACTCACTCACCACTCACCACTCACTCACCACTCACTCACCACTCACTCACTCACCCACTCACTCACTCACCACTCACTCACCGACTCAGTCACTCACCCACTCACTCACCACTCACTCACCACTCACTCACCACTCACTCACTCACCCACTCACTCACTCACTCACCACTCACTCACCGACTCAGTCACTCACCCACTCACTCACCACTCACTCACCACTCACTCACCACTCACTCACCCACTCACTCACCACTCACTCACCACTCACTCACCACTCACTCACCACTCACCCACTCACTCACCACTCACTCACCGACTCAGTCACTCACCCACTCACTCACCACTCACTCACCACTCACTCACCACTCACTCACCCACTCACTCACCACTCACTCACCACTCACTCACCACTCACTCACCACTCACTCACTCACCCACTCACTCACTCACTCACCACTCACTCACCGACTCAGTCACTCACCCACTCACTCACCACTCACTCACCACTCACTCACCACTCACTCACCACTCACTCACTCACCCACTCACTCACTCACTCACCACTCACTCACCGACTCAGTCACTCACCACTCACTCACCACTCACTCACCACTCACTCACCCACTCACTCACCACTCACTCACCACTCACTCACCACTCACTCACCACTCACTCACTCACCCACTCACTCACTCACTCACCACTCACTCACCGACTCAGTCACTCACCCACTCACTCACCACTCACTCACCACTCACTCACCACTCACTCACCACTCACTCACCACTCACTCACCACTCACTCACTCACCCACTCACTCACTCACTCACCACTCACTCACCGACTCAGTCACTCACCCACTCACTCACCACTCACTCACCACTCACTCACCACTCACTCACTCACCCACTCACTCACTCACTCACCACTCACTCACCGACTCAGTCACTCACCACTCACTCACCACTCACTCACCACTCACTCACCACTCACTCACCACTCACTCACCCACTCACTCACCACTCACTCACCACTCACTCACCACTCACTCACCACTCACTCACTCACCCACTCACTCACTCACTCACCACTCACTCACTCACTCACCCACTCACTCACCACTCACTCACCACTCACTCACCACTCACTCACCACTCACTCACCACTCACTCACCCACTCACTCACCACTCACTAACCACTCACTCACCACTCACTCACCCACTCACTCACCACTCACTCACCACTCACTCACCACTCACTCACCACTCACTCACTCACTCACCACTCACTCACCGACTCAGTCACCCACTCACTCACCACTCACTCACCACTCACTCACCACTCACTCACCCACTCACTCACCACTCACTCACCACTCACTCACCACTCACTCACCCACTCACTCACCACTCACTCACTCAC